AACTGTGAAAATCATGACAGTTTCAAATTCGCCATTTTGGCTTGGTTGAGTTGGTAAACATGTTATTTTTGTTTTTCGTCAATGTTATGTAGTATAATTATGATCTCAAAAGAAGAAAATTCTTTAAAAAGAAATAAGGAAAATAAATCTAAACCTAGGAAGTTAATTGAATTCAAATTGGCGTTAGAGAGGGATATTGCAGTAGTTGATGTGCCACATGTTGAAAAGATTGATACGATATTTCTGGAGAAAAGCATCGGGAATAATGGGGATAAGTTATTTTATTACTTTTCATATTTTCTCGATTTTCAACCAAGCAAGACTGGCAAATATAAAACTGTCATAATTTCTGCATTTTATTGCTTCTGACCTCATCAGGATGTTCAATTATCGATATGTTTACATAGACTTTAAAACATGTAAAAAAAACTGACTATTTGAGAGCCTTAGCGCCGTAAGAAGTGTTTTTGGAACCCTGTATATTTAAATAAAGCCCCAATATTAATCTGGATAAACGTGACAAGCGCAAAATTTGTCTGAACCAGGTCTGAGCATTACGATTCTATTCTACCTAAAACTTTTTCTAAGCAAACAGGGAAAAATTATGATATTGTGAATTCATTCAGAAAGTAATAAACCACTTTTAAATATGAAGGCTTATACAATTTCCTTTAGGACATCTCAGAAGGTCCGACCTATCGGAATCAACGAAAAAAATTAATTAATTTTGCTTCACTGGATAAAATATAAGTAAGGTCCGAATAAATTTATAGATATAGTTGAATAGACGTTTCGTGTCATAATATATGTAAGGTCACATATTTAGTATGGAATTATAGCATGTGTGCGAATTATTTTTGTTTTGTTTTACGATGTACACAAAGAGAACATGTTCACAATTAATTTAGAAGATGGGCGCGAAGCGCCCACTAAGACTAGTAACTTATAATGGGCCAACCAATAAAACAAACATATTCTGGTTTGGCGGGTTCAAACTACAATTATGATTTTTTAATTGTATTATCTCGTGGTTTGAAATAAATATATGAAATAAATATAAAATAAAATTTTAGATACAAATACACAAATACAAATAAAATGCAAGTAAAGCATAACAGCTGTTATAAGGTTAGGATTTTATTATGAATCAGAATTCTGACCAGCTCGAGATTGTTAAGCAAAACTAAATATTTGAGGGACAACAAAATCATTTTTAAAAAGCCCTGTAGAATAGAAAAATGTATGCCTTTGCACATTTAGAATGCTTTTATAGGATTTTCGGGACTTAACAACTTTAATCACACTCTATTGGAGCACCCTGACTAAACTACAAAATTGACTGAACATGGCTAAAATGTATGGCTCACGAGCAGCCGTAGTAAATTTGAATTTCCGAGCCGGGTCAACATTTCCGGTCTTCATTTGTACTGTACCTGGCTCTTTGGACAGGACTAGCCGGTGCAACAAGATTGACGCGGTCAGACTTTATGCTTCATTTAGGTTGAATTTACTTTTAATAAAGGGGCAGAGGTGCGTGGGCTTACTGCATAAAAAGTCGCTGAGAAATACCTAGTAATGAAAAATTGAGTGAAAAATAATTTTGCAAATTGAACAGTTTTTGTAATAGGATGGTCAGATTGAAAATTGGTTAGATAACATCTATTAAATTGGGTCTTCCAAACAGGATTTAATGTATAAAATAAATAGAGATTTAAAGATAAGACGATGAGTGTGGGGGGTCAATTCATAAATCAATAGTTGAGCATACTCTATCAATCATACTTCAGACTCGTACAGAATACATGATCAAATAGAAAGATAGCCAGATAAACAGATACACATAGATATAGGTAGAAAATTCTTATACTGCGACCATTTTATCTCAGTGAATAAAAGTAGGTACTCGGGTTGATTTTTCGTTTTACTGGTGCATTTCTCAAAGTAATTGAGTTAGAAATATCTACAGCATTTTTCTAGGCGTGACTTTCTTAAACGTGACCCTTTTTAATGCCACGTAACCAACCAACAAACTAATATACAAGTCTCCTACAGAAGTTTTCATTAACTATAATGTTGAACCAATAAAAATTATAATTGTATGATAAAGTTCGATAAATTCATACATACGGTACAAGTACATGATATATTTAGATACGCACAGGGAAACCTTTAACATATTACAATCCTAGGGTAAACAGAAGTCTTCTGTCTTGAATTTAGTTATTTATAGGATTTTTTAATGATTTTACAAATAAAGAAAAAAGTTTGAAGTTGCAGGGAATCATGAATATAAGGAAACCGACAACGTGAATCCCGTCTCATCCTATGGGATAGATGAATAGAGATAGGTACATAATTCAGAAATAGATAAATATTTACTGTGTAATGTGTATTGTGTTGACATAATTTAACAAAATATAGAAAAAGTCCAGACAAATGAGAACCTTATACAAAGATGGAATTGGACTCCTAAAATACGTTGAATCAATAAATGAGAATTTGAATTCCTTAGGCTTCATTTTCGGAAATACGTTTTTTGCAAGATCTCATTCATGATTTTTAAAACCAACTGCCACTTTATCTGTAGAGAAGAAACAAAAAAATACATTTTGTCAAACAAAATTCTGAATTCTAAGAACCCCTGTTATGCCAACACTTCAGGATTGAACCAAAAAAGTTGGAGTAAAAGCTTGTACAAAAACCTGTATAAAAAGCTGGATAAAAACGGAATGAAAATAAGGAGACAGTTTATATAGTTTAAATTCTCCGTGTGGGGGGCACATTACATTTCTTCACTTTGTCTTCCTGTCTCAGCATCAATCAAACAATATTTGGAAAAATCTGTAACTGTATCTGTATAGCTGTATCTGTATATCTGTATCTGTATCTGTATCTGTATCTGTATCTGTATCTGTATCTGTATCTGTATCTGTATTTGTATCTGTATCTGTATCTGTATCTGTATCTGTATCTGTATCTGTATCTGTATCTGTATCTGTATTTATATCTGTTTCTCTTGTATCGTTATCTGTATTTGAACCTTTAATTGACGAATTAAGCATTATTTATATTGAAATTTAAAAGTGTTCACATTAAATATCAAGATCAAGCGTTCAAAGATTAACGATACTCCACATAAAAGTTTCGAGCTTAGGTTGCTTTCCTGCTCTCAGATTTAGATATCTAAAATAGCTATGGATAAATTTTCTTTTTCAATTTTATATCCTGAAGCTTGTAAGTCTCGGTTGATATTATTTTGTGAATATTCTTCTAAATTTTGAAGAAAAATTACTGTTGTCATCCGACATAATGTTTTATAACAAACATAATAAACTGAACATAAAGAAAAAGATATTTTGACTAAATTCTTAGAATTTTAACTGGGGTGGAGGGGAGGGGGAGGGGAATTCCATTTTTTAATATTTTATCAACCTAATAAGTACAAATTAATTTTACTAAAATTGGTACATATCTAACGCTTCAAATAAAAAATACATTTTTTGCCTAATGATTGCAGAATTAAATAAATTGAACACTCTAAATTGGCTTCATGATTTTCATAAGAATCTGTAAGAATCGGCTAAAACTTCTAATTCGATTCACTTGTTACCACCGTGAGGACATATTTATATTTTGTAGTAACAAATCAAAATACACTTGAAACCTAATATCTAAAGAGTAAAACACCAAGAACATATTGGAAATTTCCTTACGAGGAAGAGAATTGGAGAAGAAGTGTAGTTCAGAAAATTACACAGGAACTATTACACCCTGTTTAAATGCTACGCCCATTTCATTTCATACACATTGTTAAAAGTTAAAAGGAACTGAGCTCAGGGGCGGATATAAGGATTCTGTAGGGGGGGGGGTAAAATTTTTTTTTACCCCCCCTAGAAATTTTTTTTCCCCCCCCCCCCCCTTGAAAAATATCATGATGTATATCAAATTATTGGTTTTAATTGGGTTTGATTTGCATTTTCCACTCATTTCTGGGATTTACAAACTCAATCATAATAAAGGCTTCATTACATACCTTTCAGCTTTCACCTTGTTTTATACCCTTCATTATAGTCATTTATTTTACATTAACTACAAAGATCTGTAAAAAAACTGAATTTATTTTATTTTAACTAAACTTTTTATATTAAGTTTGCTGGCAAACATTGACAAAAAAGGCAGTAATATAAAAAATGATAGTTTTACTCTAAGAGGAAAAAAAAATTACTTTTTTAAATCTTTAGAAAAGCTACTCTGCCAAACTTTGAAAAAATATGGTCATTACTCATTGTTAAATTTTCTTGTCGTCAATGTAGTATATTAAGATCTTAACGAAATCTAATGTGGAAATGACATTATTTAGAAGTAAAAATGTTTTTTTTTATTGTCCATACCATTTCTATTTTTCTATTTTTCTATTTTCTATTAAAAAAACATCTAATTTTAATGACATTGACTATTACTTTAGAATTTAGAATCATTTAGAATATGTTGACTTAAAATTTGAAATATCTGATTCCGACGTATCTGCACATCTGTTAATTGTTTTCGTGCAAATTTAAAAGATATTCAATCTTAAAATCAACCTTTTTTTAAAAACAAAAACAAAGTAACAACTCTTTCCTCCATTAAAAAGTCGGCGCGGCTTGGCTTACCCATAGGATTCTAGGAGGGGGTATTTACCCCCAGGATTCTAGGGGGGGGGTATTTACCCCCAGGATTCTAGGGGGGGGAAATAACCCCAATAACCCCCCTTATATCCGCCACTGACTGAGCTTTTGTCACAAACTATGATTTGCAACCCAATGGGGTTGACCTTTGATATGTCAAACTTTGAAATCTGTTAGATCAATTAATCTAACATCTACGAAATTTGATTGCAAAGATATAGGTATTAGAACATCAGAGTATGTGACAAAGACTCAATTCCCTTATTTTTTATGGTTCTTCAAACTTTGCACTCTCTATTTAGTTTTCTCTTACTAAGTACAAACACATATAAATAACATATATTTCTTAACAATTCTTAACATCACATCAATTACTATGGACATTTTTATTTGTGCTTTTTTATGGCAACATTAATTGATCCAATTCGAGCTACAGAGATTTGTCTTTTAGATACGAATACGATATCTTACAAATGAAATATAGAACGACAAGACAAATCAAACAATAACGATTCAAAGGAACTGAATTGTTGCGACAAACTCAAGTTTTCAAATCCCAATACCTTTGAAACCTGATGGTACACGCATTTGATATTTAAAACCTTAACTATTTGACCTAGCAAAATTCATAGTTGGTAATATGAAAGGTCTACACCATCGGGGTAGAAAGAAATAAGAATTGAAAAATTAAAGTTTGAGGCAAAAAATTTATTTACTTTGACAGAAAATAGACCAGAGAGATAGGAACTTTTGTGTGGATATTGTATATCTTAAACACTTGATTTCGATTTCCAGTGTGAGCACTTAAAAATTTGAGTATCAATGCTTGATCCCTCAACAAAAGTTATACCTGGAGTGTATGACCAGCACAGGATTTCAAAGAGGGCTATAATGAATCAGTAGATCAATGCTTGATCCCGAGATTCATAACACAAAAGTTATAATTACAGGTGATTTATTTAATTTATTTTCCACCAATATAATATTACTGAACAAGACGTACAGATCTTAGCTTAGAACGAACGCATACATCCTTTATTTTAATAACCTTTAAAGACCTTTAAAGTGACGAACGGTTTGAACGGTCCCTATACCTAGAACGAGCCCATTTCTCTGGTCTATCTGGGTGTATAGATAAAAAATCGATATGGTGAACAATGCGTGGACAATTTAAACATGCCATAGTTGGAGTAAAACCTTTGTAATTCTCTTTTCCCTGATGTTGATGATTTAATCTGCTCCAAAAGCTCTAATTTTTAAGAATGTGATAAGTTTTGTTTCCTTTCATGAAAGTAAAAATGGATGTTCTCCGTAGAATGCTTTGATCAAACAACATTACTAAAACATATAAACATACATTTGTATTACTACTTTTTCATATCTTTACAAGCCCATTCTATAAAATAGTTAGTTTCTGAATTGTTAATCGTTTAATTGGATAAAATGGTACAGGTTTAGCTATTGATGAATGCTTTTTTATCTTAAATAGTTATAAAAGATTTAGAAAAGTTATATGAAATAAAGTTTGGCAATTTTTATGACGATATTTATTCTTTTAAGAACATTCCAAATAAAATACTGTTTGAAAGTTATATAACACAAAAAAATCAATTTCTAACTGTGAACGAATTTGATAATTATTTGTTGTTTATAAACAAAAGGTGCAACACAATATTAAATAATATAAAATCAACTTTGGCTGTACTGACATGAATAATGTTAAAGGCCCATTTCTAACACTGAGTGTTAGACATGGGCGATAAACCCGGCTTAGGACTAATGTTCCCTGTATTTTGTGATTATTTATCAATAAATAGACATTTAGGAGTATTTATAATTACTGACACTACACAAATAATCTTTAAGAACAAGATTTATGGATAATTAAAACAAACCTGGACGCGACTAAAAAACTATCAAAAAAAGTCATCATTTAAACTAGATTTCTTTAAACGACATAAACCTGGGAACTCTTGAATATCAAGATGAATGCTTGATCTTAAGCTCTTATTAATCTGCAAACTAATTTAATCTTAATTTCATATCCTGCATGGCACGTACCCAGTCAGGGATCAATTGGTGCTATATTTGGGGGTTAAAAGGGGCTTTGCTCAAGAAAAGGAATACTGAAAGAGAAGAGATTAAGAGATTAAGCATATGAATCCTAATAGAACTAAAAATGCAAACTGTGGATATCGAGAACAAGGTTTATGGATTATGAATATCCAGCTCAAAAGTTCCCAGCCTATATCAAAGATCTTTGTCTACAATCAATTGTTACAAATGTTCTCTCAAAGATGAATTGTTTTTTTTTCAAGCTTTAAAGCAAAATGTTCACATTTTTCGATTCCATTTATTTACACCAACTAGATCTTATTATGGCGGGCGAAATTTATGAAAAGCAAAAAGAAGTTTTGTTTTGTAAGCAATGTCGATACTATAGAAAATATTGAAAAAGATTTTGCATAGCATTTTCTGACAGCTGTAAAAATTAATGAAGGTATGTTGCTAACTGCTGTCTGAAAATGCGATGCAAAATCTTTTTCAATATTTTTTTTAGGGAAAATTGATAAAATATTTCATTTTCAGAAGTTTATAGACATTTTTTAAGAGCTGAGGTTACTTCCACAATGGAAAGAATATCTAGATTCGATTCAATGCACATTTCAAAAAAGTCTTTTTTTCTCCATTTTGGAACCTGATATGTCATCAAATTTAGTCTTTCAGCTGCATACTGTAAATTCAGTGCAAATAGAAATACTTCACTTTTTGATGTCCATTTCATCTTGTAATAACACAAAGTTCAGTACTAGAATCTGAGAATGTTCAAGTACATCAAATTTTCTCGTTACAGGTGGAGTGCATGAACTGTTATGAAAAGTCTTATTCCCAAAAAAGGAAGCATTAATATTAAAAAGTCTCATTCATGTCCACTCACAGTCACAACAAAGCTCTCAAATGGCTTTAATTAATCCACACGAAGTTACTTTTATTTGTTGTTCGTTCTTACTTTTTGGTTTTTAGAGAAATATCAAACGTTGTAAATAGTTTTGAGATAATTTTCATTCTGTTATTTATTTCGATTATTTCTATTAAAACCTTTTGCCTCTCTCTTTCTTCTCCATCTAGAACTCAAACTTGAACGCCCCTGAAGGAATTAAATAATTAGATTTATTAGAATGTTGAAAGAATTTCGATAATTCAATTTCTTGTTTTTTTTTGGTGAAAAATTTGCAAGATGAAAATATTGTTTTGATTACATTAAAGATATTCTTTTGATCCATATTTGTTTCAGCAATTCGAATAGAATCAAAGAATATTTTCAAGTACTAATATTTTTGCATCTTCCAAATTTTGTATCAAGCACGTTTCTATTTTATATGTAAATATTCCTCTTCTATTTAAATTAGTTATGGCGGATTTCAAAAGTACTCTTTTCGATTTTTTTGCTCATGAAAAATATCTTATCTTATCTCTTTAAAAGTGATAGATCTCATTTTTTTAAATGGATTTATCAAAATATTCAATATGAATATTTTTTTTTAAATATTAAGATATTTATTTTATTAATCACTTTTTTAATAGAAAGAAATTGAGTATTTGTAACAAACTCTATNCCCCCCCCCCCCTCTATTGATATGTGTTACCTTGACACCATCTGTGAGGTTGCTAAAGAGTCGTCCATTTGAACTACTCTGTTGACCCGAAAGGAACGCATGGAAATAAACTGATGTCTAAGAAAAACAGTTTTTAACCGCTGCATTGTGGATTAAACACATTAATTTTTTATAAAATGTTATTTTTCATTTCGTGAAAAGATAGATATAATCTTTTGTGGGGAAAAGAGGTCAAACTCAAAGTGAAAAAACCTAGGTCAGGAGAAATTTCCGAGATTTAAGTTAAAGTTTTCTTTATGTACAGTACTGGACGGTTTTGTATACTTTTTTGATGAAGTTTTATTATTCATCCTGTATATATAGATGAGCTAATATGAGATGAGCCCGATGGGTAAATAGAACATTCATCAAAAGTTAATTATAATTTGTTGAAAATATTGCATATTTATTTTATCAAACAACTCCATTTTACAGAGAGCTAATGATAAAAAACTAAGTATTGAAACCCTTTTATGCAATTAAAAACATGTCTATTTTGTCACTTGAGGTTAAAATTACAATTAAGAGGAGTTACGAGATCAAAAAGTCGTTCCATTAATTCCGCAAAAATGTACTTTTTCTTCTGCACGAGCTTAAAAATTTAAGCAAATTATAAAACTAAAATGAATGAAAATGCAATCACACTTTAAACTATTTAGCTACCTGATCTCAGATCGTTTCCCCAGAACACGAACATGTGAGAAATAAAATGCTGCGTAAACCAATGGATTTATGCATGTGTTGAACTGTCCACTCAGATCCAATAGATCACGTACTAAAGGTGGGATCTAGTAAAAATGCAAGTAAGTTTTATAGGATCTGATTACTCTTTTCAAACTCTAATGTTCTATTTTCCATTTTGTGCAACCTAAATTTATAGTTTGAAATGAAAAAGTTGCAAGACATCAGGTTGCCAAGCTATAAGGACTAGACAAATAGGATTAGAGGCGAGTAATTATATTTTTTTACAATGAATGTCTGAAAAATTATAATTTTTTATAATAAGTAATAATTTTAGTTTAAAAGTAATTTTATTTCTAGTTTTTAGCTAATGCCGTTTTAGGGAACAATTAAATGGTTTGTGCTACAAAGTTTATAATTTCTATTTGAAATAATAATGGAATTCAACTTGTGCCATATCTTTGCAGCCTGATACACCACAACCCGTTAATATTTTAAATTTAAAATATATAATCTGGCAAAATTTATATGTTGAAATATCTATGGTCTAGGAAATTGGTTTGCAGAGATATACGGATACCCCAATCTGAGTTAGTGGCAAAAACTCAGTCCAATTAAAAAAAAACTTGGATTCTTGATATCTTCAATCCACGTGTGTAACTGAGAGCTCTTTAACTTAATTCGAAATATAAGTAAAATAGTTACCTTTACTACAGAGGCTTCATCAATGACTGACCTAAAAAAGCTTTATAAAGAATACATAAAATGTAAATTTGGTGAATAAGATTTTAGAAATGAGGTGGATGTTCGTTTAATTTTATCTTAGTTTCGTTGCCTATAAACAATAATACATTGATAATTTCAATGGGGATTTCAAGTTATGAAACTTTACTTAACTTTGTTAAAGACAACTTGTTGAAAGAATTTGAGCCTTTGCCAAAAAATCAAAATTGTCGAATCCCTATATCTTTGAAACCTGATGATGTAAACATTAAATATTTCAAGTTTAGATTATTTAATCTAAAAGAAATAAAATTCATAGCTTGAAAAGTCAAAGGTTTATGACATTGGGTTGCAAAGATAAAGGGGTTATACAATCTAAGTTGGTGGCAAAGGCTCAATTTCTTTGAAGAAAATATAGCTTCAGTCTTATTAAGAATATGTAATCGTGGCATTTTTGTAACCATCGATGCAATAAAAGAAATAAGTTTTTGAATAAACAGTCTTGTTTTTAGTTATAACTTAAAAACAAAATTTAAGAATAAAAATAGATTTTAAAATTAATACCATGTCGCAAAAATAACGTATGGAAGCCAGCAAAAAATGAATGCCAGTGTGTGAATGATCGACATCTTGAGGGCGATCATCTGGCTTTTCCTGGCCATCTGGGACAACCTGCAATCCTGCCGTCCGTCCAGGTTAGTTTGAATGTTTCGGGATCTCCTTTAAACATTGTAACATTGTTATTTTTTATTTAAAGAAAATATATTGTGTTAAAGAGACTTTAGATGATGCATTTTAAACATTTGCCCGATCAGGGATGACTGAGCGTTTGCATTATTTTTGATAATAATAATGACACATTTTTGTTAATAACAATAATAATGGAAGCTTTTTCATACTTTAAACATGTTACTGACATTTATAATCAGCGTTTTACATCAATAATTCTGCATCCTTGGATGACCCGTCCTAAGAACGATATGAACCTCACCTCATTCAAAGACCTAACGGTAGACAAAGACATTTAAGTTCTGGTTCAAACTGAATGTTTCCCTGAACCTATTATGTCAGAGAAATCCGATATTTCAGCACACTGTTTTACAGTTCAGCTCCCAACCAGAGATCTTTACCTTACTTGACATATGTCAGGGCATCACTGACCCCTTAGAACATTGTGATGATTGTTCTTGCAGTGCTGTTTTTCTTCGCTCGCCCTTTCTGCAGCAGGGGAGACGGCAGCACTCGTGAAAGTGTTATATTTTGGATGGAAGAAATCTCTTAAGATTATAGCTTATGCATACAACTTCATCTTTTCCACGAAGCACAAAGTCCATTTCAAGAATGGTGTTATGTATGACAAAAACTGCAAAGTTTGTGAAACTGACAAATCTGTTACCATCCTGAGAAATTCTTTAAGTTGTTCAGACTTGAAAGTATGGAGTATTGGTTTAGGCTTAAATCGTATGTGGTAGCAATTACCTTTCAATTTAGTCAAGCCAAAAACTTTCTGAAGAGAAATGGTATTCTCTATTATTAGTCACAGAAGTAACAATTGCAGACCTAGGTTTAAAAGACACTTTCTTTGAAGCTCCTGAAATCCTCAAATTAATACCAGTAGTAAGAGCACAATAAGAAATGTTTCTGGCAATTTTTCTCTACATGTACATTATCATGTCAGACCACATTCTGGTGTAGAAACAACAATGAGAGAGATTTGTAGATCAATTTGGCCAGTTGGCAATCCCAGAAAAATTGTACAGCGTGTTAGGAAAGATTGTTCCTATTGCAGAAAGATGAACAAGACGACTCAAGAGCTAGGAATGATGAATCATCTAGCTGCTAGAACTACTTTATCACCACCATTCTACTTCTGTCAGGCAGATGTTGTTTTTGGATTTAGAGCACAGACATTCAAGAATGCAAGGAAGCCTATGGAAGCCTATGCACTTATTATCTGTTGTATTCTGACTGGAGCTGTTAACATACTTTGTCTGGAAGGAATGTAAACTCGAGATAAACTTATTGCATTTGAAAGGCATGAAACAAGGTATGGGCTTATGGCTGAACTATTTGTTGACAATGGATGTCAACTTATTGCCCTTAAGAATGCATCTGCATTTATAAAACCACAGTTTACTCCTGAATTTGAAGCTGTCATGGTGAATTTACAGGATTCCTATGGATTCAAGGTTAATGTATCCAATCCTAAGTCTCATCAGGAACGAGGTAGAATAGAAGCAAGAGTATGCATCATGAGAAGAATGCTGGAGAAAGTTCAGGCTAATACTGACACTCCACTCACTTATTTGCAGTGGGAAACACTCTTTTCCAAAATTTCAGTTATGATAAATGATCTGCCAATTGCCAAGACCTCTCGGTCTAATGTCAGTGACCCTCTGTGGGATGTATCATCCCCAATAGATTGATTCTTGGGAGAAATAGCAATCGCACAATTGAAGGATGGATATCATTAAATAAAGGCGCAGATCTTGAGCGTCTAATGAGGAAGAATTAGTCAATACTTAACACTGGGTATAGAGTGTTTTCTAAACGACTACACCATCTCATTACCAAACCAGCTAAATGGGGGAAAACGGATCCTGTCAATGTTGGAGATTTAGTACTGTTCTTGTTCACAGAAACCCTGGGTAGCAATCCAAATCAGTGGAGATTGAATATGTAATAAATCCTTCTAATTGGAAGGTGTTCCCACTAAGTCAACACTGTTCAGATGCCAAAGAGATGTCTGCATAATAGAAGCTGCTGATGAGTTCCCATTAGGTTCTAATCTGTACTTTGAACAAATGAGAGGGGAACTGTTACCAAGTAAATGATACAGTGAAAAGAAACTAGAAACAATAAAGTAGAAATAATGTAGTGAAAAGACATTTAGAATTGTTTACAAAAGAGTACGCAAAAAAAAAAATAACAAGTAAGTGGTTAAATAGATGAATAAATAAAAAAATACTTATTTTCTGTATAATTTTACAATCAAGTCTTAAAATCTAATGCATGCGGATCTGTAAATCAGTTTCATCATGGTAATCCTGTTTAACTGTAATCTTACGATAGTGCTTCAGGTTTTCAAAATGGAACGTGGTTCTGTCGTCAACAGAGCTAACCAAATGCACAATGAGGTTAGAGCTACTTCCTATGAAGCTGGCTCTGAATATGCTGTTTTTCTGAAGAATAAAGGATTGGAGATTCTCACCCAGATATGTGGTGCTCCAAGAAGAGAGCAGCCCAAAGATCTCTCTAGGAATCAGGATTATATGTCAAAATTTCTAGAGAAAAATGATAAGTGGTGTCTCCCTGTTATTAAAGGTGTAGATTTCACTACTGAATGTACTGTACACTGATATCCTTTGAAATGATCATGGATACAAACTCCCACTGGTAAGCCATGTAAAAACTATGATGGACAATAGTTCCATTGATTTACCAAGATTGTTTCTTGCCAGTAGCGTGACAGTGAAAGAGATCTATCTTGTTCGATCAAGTAGTGAGGAAAGTTGCCAGTTCATCCTATGGATGACCAAATTTCATTTGGATAACCAACGAGACTTTCCATCTGGATTGCTGCCTGTTGATGTTGAGGACTTTGTAATCCCAGTGAAGCCATCTTCAAGCTGCAGAAGGCTTTTCACAATCAGACTGGTAAAGGGGTGCCAGCAAAACTGACGCCTTATGGTGCTAAGGACACCATTGGGGTTCCTGCGAGAATAATTGTGGGAGATAGTATCCAATGGTTTAGATCCATCAGATTTCCTTGGAATGACAAACCTAATCACAAAAAAATCAATCATCATGGACTCAACCCCCATTACTGAAGATAATGAGCTCTTGCACCATCTCTTCTCCTACACTTGGGTTGGTCAGGGAATTAAGAATGATCGATATAATCCTATGGATTTCTTCTCAATTATCTACAAATTAAACATGGATATGCCGAAGTAACTCACTCATACTTATTTTCAACCCTAGACATATAATGCACTTTAGTTTTAAAAAGTATTTGGCAAAACTGTTGGATTACTGTTTATGTCATTTTTATGAATTTACTGTTGTTTATCGGACCTTCCACTCTGATAAGTAGAAAGGCGCTGAAAATTACGCCTACAGCCCCTTTGATGCCTTCACTGAATAACAGAACCAAAATATTTATTAAAACACATATCTGCATTTCACACCAATTCTTAATATTAGGTTTTAGAGAGGAAGAAGTTAAGAGATAGAATTAAATTCGTAAATCAAAGTCCCTTCTTTCCTTCTATAGGGAAGCCAAACATTTTGGGTTTTTTAAAAAACAAATTTTGATTAAAAGTCTTTTACAAAACTGTGTTATAAATCCATAAACGTCATTTGAATACGAGTTTTAAGAAATCAACTAAACCCCCCCCCTTTTTTTTTAAGGTTATCAATCTTTAAATTGTAGCATCGCTTCCCGAATAAATCTTCCACAAATAGTGAGTTTTTGATGATTAATGTAAACCAGGTCTAACATAATTCAACGTATTGTAAAATTAAACAGATTATTTACTTACTTAAACATCTGTATGTGGACTAGAGTGTAGGAGATAACAATGCCGAGCAGGGGAATGAAGAAAACAAAAACGTTGAACGAAAAATTGTAAATCCTAGTTATATAGAATAGATTCTTGTTTTAGAGTTTTGGAAATAGGGAGAAACTGAGAGATTTTTAGGATTCCGTCCCATATTGAAAGCAAAAGTGAAGAACTGTATAAAAAGAGACAAAATGAGAGATTTTTAGGATTCCGTCCCATATTGAAAGCAAAAGTGAAGAACTGTATAAAAAGAGACAAAATGAGAGATTTTTAGGATTCCGTCCCATATTGAAAGCAAAAGTGAAGAACTGTATAAAAAGAGACAAAATGAGAGATTTTTAGGATTCCGTCCCATATTGAAAGCAAAANGTTTTGACGTTTATTGGATACAAACAGACAGACAGACACCCAAACAGACAGACAAGCCAAATTTATATATAGATTAGCTATAGCTGGCCAAACGGCTAGACCGAATAAGCAAAAATTGTTTTCTATATTCAAATTTTAAATTTATATGAAAAATAAACATGATTTATTGTCCTGCATTTTGAATAAGATATTTTCCGCATTTCTATTTATATCTTTTTGCCAATTTATATAAAAGTAATTTTTGTTTCAATATTTTGTTTAGATATGTTCGAAAATTAAATCAAAATCAACAAAAAATGAGTAATTTTTGAATCTATTTTCCTATCCCAGTCCTGAGGTTCCAATCCATACAACTCTAACCTTGTTATGTTCCCTCTCTACAATGAAAAAAATATATTAAATAGTTTTCTATTTCCACAGATATTTTTGTATTTAGATAAATAAGTAAGGAGGAAACTATTTGGCATTTTTCTGATGTAAATGCTTAAATCCTCCTTGCACCTATTCTAAAGTTTAATTTATATTTGAGAATCTTTTTTCGGAAGTTTCAAACTTATTCAGATTTTTTTTGTTAAAATAAAGTCACTAAAACCAGCCAGAAAAAAAATCGTCAAAATAAATCAAAATGGGCATCAAAATAAATCAATTGGGTATCAAAATAAATCAATATGTGTATGAAAATAAATCAAGATGGGAATCAAAAAAAATCAAGATGGGTATCAAAATAAATCAAGATGGGTATCAAAATAAATCAAGATAGGTATCAAAATAAATCAAGATGGGTGTCAAAATAAATCAAGATGGGTATCAAAATAAATCAAGATGGGTATCAAAATATATCAAGATGGGTATCAAAATAAATCAAGATGGGTGTCAAAATAAATCAAGATGGGTATCAAAATAAATCAAGATGGGTGTCAAAATATATCAAGATGGGTATCAAAATGTCTATCTTGAAACCCTGAGTTTAGAATTGTTAAATTACCTTGAAAATGAATTCAGATATAATTTTTAAAAACCGGGTTTGGGAAAAGTATTATAAAGTGGATCGGTTGATATGAATTAAAACTTAAAATGCTACTTACAACTGTGGGACTGGAAATACTTCTAAAGTAGTCAACTGTCAAACACTGGTAGAATTCCTTGTTGGGATATTGCAGTTTGCGGAATATGAACGCCTAAATGAATCGAAATCTGAATCAAAAATGTTAACATAAAAAATTCAAATTTTGAAAATACACATAGATTATGACAGTCTTTATTTGGTGCACATCACGCGCTTGGTTTACTACACACTGGTACATTAGACGGACTGGTACGAGAAATATATAAAGTAAAAATAAAGTACAGAGGTAAGTGATTATATCAATACAATGAAGACGACTTTTTTATTAACGTTTCGATTGTCAACAATTTTTTTTCGAATTATAACTTTACAAGTAATCAAAGAGGAGCTTTATTGATTGATAAATTTTCTTGACTCTTATGTTTATGTGTATCCATGCTGTTCAACAGCTTGATTTAAATCAAATTTAAATTTAAACTCGTCTTCATAAAATAGCCTACCACTGTAAATAAAACAAAAACTGACATTCGAAATCAAATCCCATTCAAGTTTCTTAAGGTCAGAGAATGAATATGAAGTAGTTTACTTACTTGTAAAGTAAACATAATACGTTCATGTTATAAAGAGATAAATCATTCCACTTTTAAGGTAAAGCGCCTTTTTAATCTAAATTAATTTTGGACCTCAAAAATACAGTGTACTTATCTTCCCCGTTATATTAATTTTCATGAAAAAAGAATCGGCAGTATGCATTTGAGGATTCTATATATGCTCAAGTATCACCTTGAACTCGCAAAAGGAACTGAATTTTCCTATCATCAAATCTTTGTCACCTTTTGTCGTTCTAATTTGAGCTGTACGTTCAAAACATTTATCTTTTTTTATAATATTATGAACCTTAAAGGTTCGAAGGTAGTTTGTTTCATTTATCCAAAGTTTAAATCGTTTTATTGCTTTCAGGATGAAAAATTGTTACAAATTTCGATTTCTTGGATTAATTTTCTTTGATGTAATTTGTTTTAAAGATTTATTATTTTTTTGTTTGAAGTTTAATAAACGTATTTCTGATGTATTGAGTTGAAGAAAATGAAAAGTACTTATCCATCTTTTCATTCAATTCCTCAGTAGTGATAACTTATACTAGAATGGAATGCAATAAAACCCCTCTTTATTTCCTAAGCTGACGTGTCCCTTATTTAGAACAGACTGGAGGGGGGGGGGGAGTGATACAATTTTGGAAAGCTCTTCAACTTTACTTTGTTATCTGCAAAAATAGCAAATTGGCACAATTCCAAAAGTTTATTGCAATATTTAGTTATTTAGTAAAATGTGCAAAAACCAAATTTGCGAGAAATATGACAAATTTTATACTTTTCTAAAGCCCTTGACCCAGCAAATTTAAATTTTCAAAAATATCTGAAAAATGTTTAATGTGTATTCAAGAAAAACTGAGCAAAATTATATGAAAACTTGCAAATGTTGTGCAATCTGTTTCCTTTTATTATAGTTTTCCAAATATCTATAAAGTGTTTTATGAACCGGAAGTGTCTTCATAAAAATGTAGTCTGGTATAAGTAAAATAGGCTGAAATTCAGGCAGTATGCTGAAAGACTAAAGACATCTTTAAGCCTTCAATGAGGGGCACGCGTTAGATAGAAAAGTAAAAAACTGACCAGCCTCAAACCAAAACTTTTAGAGTTAAATCCTAAAAACTTCAGTAGGAAAATTAAATTAGCGCAATTAAAGCAATTATATCAATCTTTGGACATTTAAAGCAATTATGCAACCCAACCAACTAGCAATCCCACCCCCGCGCATAGGCTCACGGATTGCACCCCCCCCCCTTCCTTTTTCCCGGACTATATATAGGGGTCCCTGACCCCCTAAAAAGTTCAGGGAGAAATTTTTCGTGAAAGTGGCAGTATATAAAAAGTTCAGTGAGAAATTTTCCGTGAAAGCTGCCTTATTGAACGTGAGCAACACCAAAATTGATTATAAATAGTTTTTATTTACTTCCCTTCCCTTTTTAGATGTAAAACCCTATTTCCGCTCATTCTGTTTATTGGAACTTTATCCCGGGGGGACTCGTATTCATGCATTAAATGTTTAGTTTGTAAGTACAAGTTTAAAGTATTATTGATAAATAAAATCTAGGTCAGAATTGTTTTAATTTTGAAAAATAAATCCGGCAATTCAAATATCTGATAGAACGAAAAGATTAGGAATTGTTTAGTTAGTAGATATTGATATTCATTATTTATTCCTCTGTATTCTTTACTTCAATCAATCATAAGATGTCGTGAAAAATTAACAAAGGAATTGAAAAACTCGCATCAAATCATAAATTCCAGTTCCATTATCTTTGCAACCGAATGGTGAAATTTTCTGACATTTTTTACGTTGAATTTTGGTACATAAAACTCTCTATGTTTAAAATATTAACAGTTCAATCATCAGATTGCAAAAATATCAAAAATACAATATTCATTTAGTTTAAATTTATTGAAACTTTTCCTATCTGTTCTAAGGAACATGGAAAAACATTTTAAAAAGCACTTTCTTTTGTCCTTTGTAGGGCTGGGCACCCTTCCTAAACCAATGGCAGTTTTGAATTTAACAATACGAACGGAAATCCGGTTATTTATCGTTAACGAACAAAGTAAACTGTTTGTAAAAAAAACTAAAGAAAAGTAACAAAAAGCGGGAATTTTTTTTGGTTTTGATCCTTTAGTTTACATTGCATGAAAGACATTTACATACATTTTTAAATCTGTAATGATGTTATTTAGTACGAACTGAACAACTGTTTATCGTTAAATCGAGATTAAGAACGGAAACTTTATTTCTTTAGTTAAAAACGGACTACTTGATGAGCCTGTTTCGTTCATTTATCTAATCGATGAATATTAAAGAAGTTCGAACATGCCCAGCCCTAGTTTCAAATGATGTGTAAATTTGTTACAATACCTGGGGCAGGGAACATATTGCTGCTAGAATCCATGCACACGCTACCATTATCCTAAGTATTTTATTCAAGATTATTCATTAAGAAATTAGAGAGAAAAAATTCTATTAAGAAAAAGATATCTTGGAAGCGAAATGCATATGAAATTTTTTTTAATTTTGTAAGAACAAACTTTGCCAAAATCTAATCTAAACTTTAAAAGTTAATTGTAACAAAATAAGTTTACAATTTTGTAAAAACTTTTCGTCAATAGTTTATCCTTAGAAAAATGTACAGCGGCAACCAAAAACAGTGAAATGATGGATTTTTTTTCTTATATAAATATTTGACTCACAGAAAGATACAAATAACAAAATAACTATCGGTATTTCAGAATGAAATAAAATGTCACCATTAGGTCCATAGCTTTTAGATAAAATGAGCATGCAAACTATTGCATATTTTCGCAAATAACTTTAAAATATTTAATTTTTTATCATCGAATTTTGGACCCTCATCTTTTAAAGTAAAAAACAGAGACATGAAAAACCTTTTTACCTGGATCTTTGCCTTTGTTTGGTAACATGAAGAGCGGAGAGAGGCCGACTGATTGAAATGTATCGATCAATACTAATAAACAAACGACAATGTTTAAATACAAACATTAATCCAATGTTAAAAAAACGTTAAAAGAAATAAGAAAAAGAACAAAAATAATTCCTTTTTAAGATAGAAAGCAGAAAAAATTTGTCTTTAAACAGTACATAGAACTATAAACTATGGAAGATAACAGTTGAGCAATCTTGAATGTATTAAATGTATTTTTGTTATAAAGAAAATAACAAAACATATAAATAAAAAACAACGCACGTGTAAACTTTGTAAAAAGTTGATTCTAACAGTCGTCTTCCAATTACACAGTTTTATGGGTCTCACTGTACTCATCAAGTCATGAGATGCTGAAATGGATTGAATCTTTGCCACTAACTCGAATATACTAATCCCGTTTTTAAATTTCCACGACTTTGGGTTGCATTGCTAAGAGTTAGGGATAAGAAAATCAGATTTTCGGACAAAGGCTCAATTCTTGTAAAATCGTTCAAAATCTTGGCAATAACTCGGACCAAAACTTGGCAATAACTCGGACCAAAACTTAAAATTTTTAAATTAAGCACCTTGTGTAATGTTTAATGACAAACTCCTTTGATTTGTATTTTTCTATAATAATACTCTTATTCCACCATTTGTAATTTCATACAAAAACGCTAATTAATGGATGACATTACACTGTTAAAATAGAATAGATATATAATTTTCCATGCAAATATTTTGAATAATAAACCGATATATGCATTCAATTAAACTAGACGAGTTTATGCAACGAATTTATAAATATATTGCAATTCTTCTCGGCTCCGAACGTAATATATATAGTTTTTAACTTTTCCATAAAATTATCTAAAAAATGTATGACAAGCACTTAAAATAAACAAAACCAAAGCAGAATTATTACAGGTGAAAAACAAGACCAGTATTTATTTTTTTTCAATTTCAATTTAATTTGTGCATTTTGCATATCAACGGCCAAATAACCAGTAAAAAGTATTTGTAGACCATTAAGATAATTTTGCCTATCAAAAAAAGGAAAGTAAAGGTTTAAAAAAGTTTTGTTGTTGTTTCCTTAATATAACGAGAAGATTTGATGAGAGATAAAAACCTCCAGTTCGAAGCATCATCAACATCTAGGAAACAAGAATCATGTTACAAACTTTTAATTCATTTGATTAATGGTGTTGAGGTCATGTACTTTGTCATTTGATATCCGGTCTAAAGCCGTAATTTTTAGTTAAAACAAAATAGAGCTTTTCTCAACGATTTTTTAATCGTTTGAAACCCTGCAGTAGTTCCTTATTGGGTCACCCTGCAAGTCATCTATACATTGTATGTTTGATTGTATCCAATAAACTTTAAAACTGCTAAACCGGTTAGGCTTATCTCACAAGTCCTTCGGGAAGGTTATTGGCCGGTTGAAATACTTTTTTTTTTAATGATACCATCTTTTTTAAATCCATTGATTTAAACTGAAAACTCTGCGAAAGCAAAAGAGAATAGAATATATATTAGATTGGAATTTAGACAATCCTTCAGTATGAATTTTGTCAGTGCCTTTCAACCTGAGAGGGAGTTCAAATTGTACAAATCATGTAAATGTTCACAAATTATATGCAGTAGAGTACATTAATACAGTATGTTCCATAGACTATCCATTACAATTTCGAATTTTTAAAGCTGTTAAATAAACTTTATAAAATGAATTAGGTGATTAAAAAACATCATTTTATTTATAGTTATAACGGAAAATCGTTTGTAACGTGAAAGGCATAGCGTCTATGTTAAATCATCATTGGTCAATTATAAACCAGCCTATTTCATAATTTGGTTTCTTTTAATATTAATTTTAGATTTTCTATAAAATGATGATCCAGGGCCCAAAAAGTTATATAGCACAAATATGTGATGTACACTTGCAGTATGGAAACAGAACAACAAAATGGCCGTTTTACACTTTTTTCTAATAAATTCCCCTCTAATATATATTCTATTCTCTTTGGCGAAACCTTTCATGATTATGATGTACGAAGAAAACACCATGGCGACAGATATTTGTGTTTCTATAAATCAAATATATTTGATGGCTCACCTTACAGAGTGCATTGCTGGCATGCCATTGAATGGTATATCTCCAGATTGCTTCCATTGGGAAAATGATGAAGGACACCATGCAATCTGCCAGAATAAGCTGGAATACCAGGTAGTGCACATTGGTCTTACTCCTAAATACATTTTTAATCAACTAACTAAAGACGTAATTTTAACATGCGGTATAAGAAATGAATAAAAAAAATGTAAAAATTCAACACTTTAAAATAAATATGACAACTTTTCCCACGTTGTTACCAAATTAAAGGTTTTTATAAAGGGTAGCAATGTTAAAGGGAGTGTTCGCGAAAAATGAAAGGGGGTATAGGCTTCATGCGATAAAAAAGCGCTTTTGATCGCTACTAATTTTACTTCTATCTGTTGCGTCTATAAGGAGAAAATTGTTAAAGACGTCTCATAACGAATAACTTAGCGCCCATACAGATTCAGAAAATTGCAGCATTCAACTTTTTTTTAAGAAAACATTTTAACGGATTTCGAAAAATGTGAGTGGTGCGCGGCATTCTTAGATAGTTGCGCAAGCGACAAGAGAAATAATCAAATTCAAAACAAATTAGTTAAAAAAATATTATAAAATATAAACTATATACAAATGTGGCGAAAGATAATCGATGACTATAGGTTGTAATATCTGAATGATTTGTTTGAAATTAAATTGATTTTTTTACGGTCTAAGTCATATGTCGCAATTTTCTGAATTTGTATGAGCGCTAAATTATTCGGTATGAGACGTCTTTAACAATTTTCTCATGTATTACAAAAATGTTGAACTTTAAGTTATGCTTTTTACATATATCAGTTCTTTGCATATTAGTTCTCTATAATTAAACAATTTTAAATAAAAAAGAAAAAAATTGATGTTTATCATACACATGACATATTTTATCATGTTTAAACTAAATACTTCAAAGATAGGAATTATTACTTAAAAATGATCCAATAGAATACGATAGAAAAAAACTCATTTCACAATTTATTAAATTCTGATTTTAAAAAATCCATTTATCTTTAATATTGAAATAATTGAAACCTTGTGTCTGGCCTCCGCATAACTCTGAATGCTGTTATCAAGGATATCAGGTTAAAGAGAACTCCAACTGAAACCATTTTCTTATAAGGACTATTATCATTAACACCCCTCCCCCCTCTCTTTGTTTTAATTTAATGAACCCCCCCCCCTCCCCTCTTTATAATGCCCGCGTAGACCCCCCTCAATAGATGTGTCTAAACCGCCCCCCCCCCATCCCTCTCCAACCTTATAATGGAATTATCATCATCATCTTCGAAACTGCATGGAATTGCCCTTTTTATTTCCCTTTCCCCCTTTGTAAATGTTTTAAAAGATTTAAATTGTTATTTTTACATAAATGTAGAACTTTGTAGTAATCTATTTATTTAATGTTATGTTACAAAATAAATGTGTAAAAGTCACCTATAGTCATAAATGTATGAGCAATAACGTTGATAAGATCTTGAAAATCAAACACCTCAAAGTCCTCTAATTCCTCCTATTCAAATATATATTAAATGTGTTAGAAATACACCTTACCGATAGAATTTAGATATTACGAAAATTTTGTCCCAAAATTTTTATTGGAGACCCTAGATTATCATTGTAGACCCAATAGACTCCAAACTTTTTGTTATAAATTAATTTAATTTAATTAGATTAAATTTTCAAATACAAAGGAATTGAGTCTTTGTAACAAAATCAAATATTTAAACCCCAATATCTTTAGAACCCAATGTTGTAAACCTTTGATATTTTAAACTCTGATTATTTGATTTAACAGAATTCATAGTTTGAAATATCTAAGGTTTACAACATTTGGTTCCAAAGATATAGTGATTAGAAAATCAGAGTTTGTGGCAAAGACTCAATTCCTTTTAGACTTCCCCATGAAAATCTTCGGGTCTCCAATGACTAGATTGGGGTTTTCCGAAGAAAAGTATGGGATCTCCAATGAAAGTCTTTGGATTTCCTATGAAAATTTGGTGTTTCAGATGAAAAGTTTGATGTTTCCGAAGAAAACTTGGGGGGTCTCCAACAAATATCAGGAGGTCTCCAATGAAAATCTGGGTGTCTCTAATAAACATCTGGTGGTCTTCAATTAAATATTGATGGCTTCGATTATAATTAGGGGTCTTGGATACAAATTCTGGGGTCTACTAAGAAAATCTTAGGGTCTGAAATGAGACAGTATTAGAGCCAGGGGTCTCCGATGATTTCTTACCAGACGGAAATTAAAAAGGTTTATAAAGAGAAATTTTAATAAAACAATAGCTATTAACCCTATTCCTGCTGGGGGGGGGTCAATTTTTTGCAAACATTTTTACTATTTAATTGGATTTTGCGATAAAAAATTAAATTTTTGCAAATTTGCAAATTTTTTTGCAGATTCTAAAAGTAGAGCACAAGAGCTTTCCAATGATGTATCATTTGTCATATTTGGACATCAAACATAAGATTTAGAGGGAGGGTCAAACTGACCGCCCCCAGCATATCCTGGTTTTCAAGTACCCCAGCAGGGATAGGGTTAAGTCATCGTCGTCGATGAAGTATTTAAAGCACTTTTGCTACCTAATTGAAACTTTGGTTTAAAAAGTTAAAGCAAATTTAATTGAAACATTTTGGTCAAACCATATTTTACGTTGTTTTTATGCAATTGGTCTGGAAAGTTTTCAACTAGAGGGAATATAGATGTGAGGGTTTCACGGATGGAAAAAAGTATTTCGTTGATTTTTACACTTTAATCAATTATTACTTTCGATCCAATAACCGTAGATTTTTTTATCTTAGTGATTTGATGCTAACGATCCAATGTAACGTTTTTTGTCTGATGGCTAATAATTAGGAAAAAAACACATGTTTATATTCCTGACACTTGAGCTCTAGTTAGATTCAGGTGGTATGGAATATTGTTAGATTCAGGTGGTATGGAATATTGTTAGATTCAGGTGGTATGGAATATTGTTAGATTCAGGAGGTATGGAATATTGTTAAAGCAATCTGAAAACTTTATATTTTCTTGTCTGTCACTATACAAACCCAGAATATGAACTTGAATAAAATATTGACTTTTCTTTTCAGTTTTCCAAAATTTTTGAGAACTCATAATTTAGTGTTTTTTTGCTTATTCCGCAAAATTTATACTCGTAGCTCGACATGCAAAGTTTTTACAAATTATATCATCTTGTTTTTCAGGAATTTTCTCATGAAAAACATTTTTTAGCTTTATAGATTGTAAAAACTATTTAATTCACAAACTGTAAATTGAGAATTAGAGAATTTACGTAGTTAGTATTATGTGAACTGATTGTAGTACTTTGAACAATACCTGTCCTGTGTCTGGAATCCCAAATCCAGAACTATTAGACCTGGATTCTGTTAAATTCATTCTCTCTAGAAAAAAAGGCATTGTAAATTCTAGAATGTATAATTGAGGGCAATGGTGACCCAAAAAACTGTTGAAAAGGATGATCAAACTAGTTATAATTTTGAAATCCGATGGACCACAGCAACTGTGCAAATTCACTGCACTGAATTTTAAGCAACTAGTAAAACTATCATCCAAAGTACAAAGATGCTTAAATGAAAAGTATTTCTGTTTCTCAGTTTCATGGGTCTCAGTATATGCATATTTAATATATCCATTTCTTCAGACTACAGGTATACTCTCAAAGAATGAGACCTTAGAGACGACTCTACGAAATTTTGTACACTTGGTTCCTTATATTTATAATTTAGTGAATCTTTAAGATAGTCCAAACTTTAAAATTCAAACTTGTTCTGTGTTCAATCAAAATATGCAAGCCATTAAAATATAAAGTATTTAAGGAAAAATATGTTATTCAGAGTAAGATCGTCATCTTTTACGAGTTTCAGGTCGTCTTTACAGTATTATCCTTTGTGGGTAATCTTGTACTTTATTTGCACAAACTTAAATGAAGCCTGGGAGGCTGCGCCATGAAAAAGCTAGAGGGACCGAAAGCTGCGGCTAGGAAATTCTAGAACCTATTGCTACCACTACCATGATCCAAAATTTACACTTTCACAAAAAATCGAAGTGATGTTTTCAATAACGTCTATTACAATTCTTGTTGTATTTGTCTAGTATAGTTTAAATATTCATACTAAAAAAAGTAAGTTAGTGCGACATAAAAGGCGCGTTGCGACACAAGTCGACCAAGTTCTGAAAATTGTTGCAACTTTTAATGGTGACATGGAAACGCCTCAACACGGAAATGCCTCAAAAAAACATAATCATAAAACTAATTTAATGTCGTCTTCTCTCGACTTAAAATTAAAAAGACTATATTCTAACAATTTTCACAGCCATGGCCGCAGCGCTCGGCCTCCTAGCCTATTCTAGCCTCAGCGCACGGCCCACTAGCCTGTCCTAGTCGCAGCACTCGGCCCCCTCCGTAGCCTGCGGCGCAACCTAACTTACCCTAAATTAATGGTAAAATAATTGTTAAAATTCCCCCACTTCTCTATTTCCTATATTCTGTAACTCCTTCCCCTTAATGTCTCTATGCACTTTTAGATTAAACTTGTCAATTAACAGCAGAACTACTTAACTTTTTGAGAAATATTAGGCAAATAGGACTGGCCTTGCCAAAAATTATTAAAATTCGAATTATAAAGAGAACTGTTGAAAATTGAAAGAATTTGTAAAAACTTTCGTCTTATATTTTTCAATTTCAACACTTTGGATGCTTTGACTGTGTAGTAAAGCATCAAAAGCGTAATTTAAAAGCGTCAAAAACAACATTTCTGGGAATCAAAAGCAAATCAAATTTGATGCCTTGCTTACTCTTTTTTGAAAAAAATATTAACTTTTCAGTCAAATTATGAATGAATGAGCATAAAACTAGGAACCATTGCTTTTCAGTGTGCTTTTCAGATAGATTTAACACCACAAATGTTTCTTCATCAATTGTAAAACAAAATAAAGAAATCCTTCATTTTTCTGGTAAAAAAATCATTTTTGATGCTTTTAAGAAAAACCTGAAAAAGGGTAAGTTTTGGCAAGAGAGGAAAAAGATGCCTCCCCCCCCCCGCATTTTTTAGATATAATCACTAAGGCAAATCAAAATTGCCAAATTTCCTACTACTTAGTTAAAATGGAAAATAGTTAATGGCCTCAACTTTGAAGTTAATGGACTCTAAGTCACTTTTTTAAGGCTGTAATACATTTTTTTGATAATGCTTACCTTTGAATGCTTACATTGACATTCTTTTTGACTACAACATTGTGACTTAGAATTGCGACTTAGAGTTGTGACTTAGAATCTGTCTTAAACATTGTCAAGCATAAAAGAAGAACTGAGAAATGTTTGTGACTCAAGTTACAATGTTGTCTTTAGATATTTAAAGTCACAATTGTATCAAAGTCTACTCTTAAACACAATTGACCAAAAAAAATGTGACTGAGAGGTGTTTTTGTGACTCAGAAAGTGTCTTAGACAAAGCTGTGATTTAGAATTTTGACTTAGATACAAATTGGTCTGAAAAGTAAGACTTTGAAATTATTGTGACTTAGAAGTGTGACTTAGAATGGACATTGAATATAATTAAGCCAGACAACTCTGATTTAGACCTAAATGTGACTGTAACGGTGTTTTAGACCTTATTATGTCTTAGAAGTGACTTAAAATGGGTTGTAAACACAATGAAGCCTAAAAAACACGACTCATACATAGTTTAAAGTTAGAATTGATTCTTACAATGTGTTCGAGACATATATTTTTTTAGAATTGTGACTTGGAATGAGTCCTCACAGTTGTGACTTAGAATTGTGACTTAGATAGTGTAGCTTGGACATAATTTGGTCTCAAAAGTATGACTTTGATGACTGATGTAACTGTGACTTAGAACTTTGATTTGAAATATGTCTTACCATGGGTCTAAATATCATTTGAGTTTGTCTTTAAATGGTGACTTAGAATGAGTCTTAGTCATAGTTGTGCATTGGAATAAGTCTTAGAAAGCTTCTCAGACATAATTTGGTCTAAAAAGAAGTTTTAAGTGAATTGATTCAAGTGAATGATGATGAAGAGAGGAATGGTGGACAAGCAGGGAGAGTCTATGGTTGCCAGCTAGAGGTACCTGGGGGTATCCAATCCGGGCTTACAGATGTTAGGAAGCAATGAGAAAGATGTTTCAGTATGGCAGCCGGGCCTTATTCCAGTATATCAGAAGAATTCCTGCAATTTATTATTATCAGGCCTAAGAAGCCCTTAGGCAGCTGGATTCTTGTCAACCCTCTTCTCAGAATGAATAAAGCGTGGAAGGGTGAATGTGCTGCCAGATTACAACCCCTGGTAGATCAATATAAACCCAGACAACACCAAACTTTTGCAATAGAAAAAAATTCCGAAATCTGATTGTAACAACACGATCATGTCCTGGGGACAAAAAAATCTCTTTTAAAAAAAGTCATTCTGACTTAGAATTGAGACTCAGAGCCGTCAATTTGGTTTCAAAAGTATGATGTTGATGTAATTGTGACTTAGAATATGTGGCCATAATTTACCCCCCCCCACCCGCCGCCGCCCAATACTTCCACCCCATTATTCAATACAAAATATGTTAAAGATATTCCAAAGGGTTTTTATATTGCAAAATAAAAGAATAATTTAATCAGGAAAAGGCGAGAATTCTACATATATTGTCTTGCACTGTGACAATTTTGATGCTTTAACATTTTCAAAAAGAAACATTCCAACAATTAAATGTCTTTTAGAGATTTGCTAGGTTACGCAAACCATCCTAATTTACATTTTAAAGCATCTTTTTTTCCATAATGATATTAATAAATTTTTCGGTTCAAATTTGATGATTGTCTCTTTAAATTTTCAATTAGTAATTCAGCTCTAAGAAATTAGATGATCTGCAAATTCTTATTGAAGGGAAAGGAATGATTTTCACCACATTACATATCAAATCTATCAAATGCAGGGATTAGGAATTTCCATAAAGGAATTGAGTCTTTGCCACAAATGCAAATTTTCTAATCCCGATAGCTTTTCAACCTGATTGTGTAAACACTTAATCTTTTAAACTTTGATTATTTGATATAACAGAATTCATAGTTTGAAATATCTAAGGTCTATGACATTGGGTTGCAAAAATATATGGATTCTAAAATCAGAGTTTGTGGCAAAAACTAAATTTCTTGGTTACCAACTTTTTTCTAAGAACATATAATACTACTACTAATAATAAAAATGAATAATAATAACAATAAACATATAATAATAATAATAATCAGAAAATTGGTCGTATTGAATATCTCAATTAAAACTTTTTTTTAAATTCAAAAACTCAATTTAAAAATCTAAAATAGCTGGACACAAGAAATTATTAGAATATAAAATACACGAAAAATTAAATTGAACAATGAAAACATACAAAATAAGCTATTATATTTATTCAACGTGATGCTTATATATATCAGATTACTCTTTTATAAATATCCAATAGGTGAAACTATTCAATCGAATATGTCAAATCCTCTCAATAACTAACGAACTAAAAAAGATGGATTATTAGGGAGGTCGATTTAAAAATGGTTTCAAAACATTTCCTAAAGGAATTGACTCTTTGCCACAAACTCTGATTTTCTAATCTCAATATCTTTGGAACCCAATGTCGTAAACCTTTGATATTTCAAACTTTTTTTTTTTGATCTAACAAAAGTTATAGATTGAAATTTCAAAGGTTTACGACGTTGGAATCCGAAGATATAGGGATTAGAAAATCAGAGTTTGTTGCAAAGAGTTAATTCCTTTATGTTTTTCGATATTTCAATAATTGTTTGATTTAACTGATCTTTCTTGTAGGTTTTTCGAATAGTTTCGTATATTTTGATTTTGATTTTGAGAACTTGATTAAAATGTTCAAAAACTTTAGAAATATTGAAGAGATTGTTTGAAGTCAATATCTTCTATTTATCTTTAATATCTAAAAATGCATCGACATTATGAAATAATTTTGAAGTATTTGCAACAAGAATAAATCCAATAATTCTGATTCTGATTAAAAAAAAAATGTTTGATTGTCAAATCTATTTTTCCTTTGTTGGGAGGTTTGTGTAATATTATGGAATTGTCCCTCGGACACCAATTTGTTTCCGTTTACAGTTTGAAATATCTTAGGTCTACGAATTTGGTTTGCAAAGATATAGAGGGGTTAAAAAATCACAATAATTGTGACAAAGACTCTAACTCCTTTAAAGAATAAGTATGCGTGAAGTATTAAAAAACAAATTTAAATATTTCATTGTTTAGAGAGACTTTCATTGCAAAGGGATTGTTGTAATTTTAAGTAGCCATCCATTTAAAGGAGGTATTGCACAATTGACATCACTACCCTTGAAACTTTTACTTGATCAAAGATGTGGGCGAAACGTTGTCTGTTTAGCTTAAGAATCGTTTATTCTGATAATTCCTTTATGGCCGGTTTTTCTACAGTAGAAATTACCAACGTCATAAGTCACATTTGTAGTAAAACCACAGTTGAAAATTATCAGTTTTTTAAATAATCGACATCCAATTAATACTTGATCTGACAAAGCTTTTGAGAGTATCGTTGTAAAACGAACATGCCATTCTATAAATGAAAGGTCACTTAAAATTA